CCTCACCACCAAGGAGGGGGTGTCTTTCCCTCCGCAGCACCGGGGCTGGCTCCAGGGCCTTCCGAGGAGAGGAAGCTCCAGCCCGGCACCGTCCTCCCAGCACAGAAGCCCATGGTGACAGCAGCCCGAGTCCAGAACTGGCACCAAGAGCACGGGCTGAGGGTCTGCGGACACTGTGCTGGGAGCGGAGGCTCTGAGAGGCCCTCGGAGGCCGGCGGAGACGAGGCGGCCCCTGCCAGCAGCACGTGGGCCCTCAGCAGCCTGGCGGGCTCAGGCCCAACACCCGATGAGCTCCCAGCCCTTCCTCGCAAAAATCTGTTCATCTACATCTGAGACCAATCTGCCTGAAACTACACAATACCTGTCACATTGCTTCCTGGCACAGCAGTCAGATGTTTGCATGGAAAAGTACCGACAGCTACATACCTCTTAGTGGTGTAATATTTAGACGCGTCACTCTGCATCTCAAAGAAAAGGCAGTTTTTAAACCAATGCAGGTTCTCAGGGTGGCACTCGGCCTGGAGATGGCACAGGAGGCCCTCCAGCAGGTGAGCAGAGCTGGGCGCCCAGGCTGACTGCACGATGCGCTGTCCGGAGGCTCTGGTTGCAGTCACGTGGCGGCCAGATGTGTGCGTGGGAGTCAGTGAGGGTGCACACTGCCACGGCTCCGTGGAGGGCGGCAGGGGCTGTGCCCCTCCCGGGACCCAGGCGGAGGCTGGGGGCTGTGCTCCAACCTTCTCTTCGTGAGGAGACGTCTGGGGACTGTCAGGCACACACACCACTGGGTTTTTCTCAGTGCCTCTAGATTTAAAATCGCTTTCTCCAGCTTTTGTGATGAGGTTATGTACGATTTACTCCAGCAAGGCTACAGATTTCTGAGTTGAACACTGCCTTAGGTTTAAAGCTGCCACCGTCTCCCCAGCTCCCCGCCGAGCCCTGCACGGCCGGGCTCACTCACAGGCACTCCCCGTCTCCGTCCAGGGGTGACGGAGTTGGGCTGCGGTCACTCCAGGAGGCAGACAGGTGCTAAGGGGCCCCCAGTTGCTCCTCATAAAGCAGCAGAGTAAAGACGAAGTCAGTGTCCCTCTGCTTTTAACCCCCGTTGTGTCACAGGAGTGCCGAGGAGCCAGAGATGGGCCCTTCACCTGCGGAGTCCTGACCGCTCTGTGCCGTGTCTGGACCGCCAGTTTCTGCCGATGCTCGGCCGGCCCCTGCCTCTCAGCTGTCACCACACGTGCCCCTGGAGGAGGCTCTGAGCCAGCAAGGGAGGCCTGGGACCTGTCCGGGGTGAGACATGGTAGGAGGAGGCCCCTGACCAGAACCCAGGACTGGTCAGCTGCAACTTTTAGAAACTGGGTGGGAAAGGCCATGGGGCTGGCGGATTTTTTAATTCCCTGCCACCCCAATCTCCTCCACACCGGGATCCAGAAGCCAGAGTCCTAACAGAACACTCCTGAACGGTGTCTCCATACAGAGAACAAGGTGTGGGCCGAAGTAGCACCACCTGCCACCTGCTCTGGGCGTGGAGGGCCCTCCACCCACTGCTGGAGAGACTGGGGCTGTGGGGGCTGGGCATGCCCACATGCCCCTCCTGGGCACTTTCTGTGTCACAGGGCACCCTTCCAGGCATAGCAATGAATGGGAAGAGGGCTGGAGGCAGCCAGGGGCAAGAGGAGACCCAGGAACTGCAGGGACCCAGCCGGGAGGAGGGCCAGTCCGCGTCCCACCAGGCAGCCCCCAGGCAGGGGTGGCCCAAGGGGACCTGGAGGATGCTTCTGGAGAGCGCCGGGGAGCTTCTGCGGGAGGCCCCAAGACACACGGGAAAGGCTGTGCCAGGGGTCCCCGGGTTCCTGCCAGGTCTCGGCAACAGCCACGGGCATGGGGCCCTGCTCATGCTCTGCAGGAGAGTATGTGCCTTCTTGGGAATCAGAACAGCGAGCAAGCGCAATGAGGGAAGTGCCTGAGAACACAGCAGTCTCAGACCAGGGCCGTAGGGGCATTGAGCTCCCCTCACCCATCTGGCATCAGGAGGGATTCTGCTCACGAGCAGGAGCAGGTGCAGTGTCATGTCTATTCCCTGGGAGGTTCTCCAAGTTTCCACAAAATTTAACTCTCTGTGTGTGTGTATGGGGGGGGCTGTTTCACTTCTCAAAGAAACATCCACAAAAACTGAACCAGAAAGTGAGCAAGTGTGTTCAGGGACGCAAGCCCCTGCCCTTGGGGTCCCCAGTCAGGAGGCAGAGGGTCGGGCACTGAGAAGGGGGCCAGTGTCCTGCTCTATCAGGTCTGTCATCCCGACTGGCCCTGGGTTGAGTCCCCAGCACTGGCTGGGCAGGGCTGGCCTCGCCTCCTCGGGAGGGGGTGCTGCGAGCCATCCTGGTCATATCTCAGCTTCGGGGAGCATCTGTGGCCACAGGCACAGGGACCCAACCTGCCGCTGGAGCCGGCAGCTCGGCCGTGTACCCGCCCCGCGTTTCCTGCCTGAAGTCTCACACGTGCATCCACTTTGCCTTGTCGTCATGGCGATCAAACCACGCAAAAGCAATGCTTTTTGCACAGTATCACATGTTGCTTGGTGTTTGGACACTGATACTTTCTCCAGCTGGGTTTTTCTTCATTTAAGTCAACAAACCAGTCTGGGAAGCACACACTGCTTGTGTCTGGGAACCAAACAAGACTGACGTGTAATGGGGAGCCTTGAGAGAGACCGCGGCATGAGTGCCAGGGAGGGCCCAGGCTGAGAAACAAGCGAAGCAAGAGGTGAAGCTCCTGCCCACCCCCGCCCCACACGCTGTAGCCCCGGCCCCCCCGGCCCCCGGCCGGCATCGAGACGCAGAAGCACATGCGTACACGCTGGGAAAGCCGGTCAGGGGGCTCCCTGGAGCAGCAGATTCCAGCCCGTCCTTCTGCGTGCGTCCCACCGCGTCAGAGTCCACGGCGACTGCCGGCAAGGTCCGTCCTGACCACAGTGCCAGTGGCCACCAGAGAGCCCGAGTGCCAGCCACATACACACCCTTCCCAGCGTGGCTGCTCCCAGCAAGCTGCCAAGTGGACGGTCGCTGCAGGTGCCAGCAGCACCGAGCCCGTGCTTTTAGGATTAATCTTAACTGCTGTCTACATGGAATTTGTTCTTATGGCTATTCTGCAGAGGGGGGAAGAAACACGAATTAGAAACGCTGAGAGACTCATTAAGGCCTCCCTTTCATCCACTGAGGCGCCGTCCACCGCCTGGTGTCTCGTCCTTGTCCTCGTCCGCGCCAGCCCGCCCAGCACGGGTCCCCCTGGAGCTGACCTGGGTGATGGAGGCCAGACGCTGTCCATCTGTCCACAACTGGAGCCACAGGGTCCGAGGACCCTGGGCGGCTGCCCTCAGTCACTTAAGGGCCGCGGGTCCTGCAGTTTCTCTAGGCTTCGGGTCTGGCTTTCAACTGCCACCCCATTTCCTTCAGACAGACAGACAGATGAGGCTGCTTGGCAGAGTTCCATTAAATCTCATTGTCTTTCAAACTGATAACAGGTAAAATTGATGTGAACTTCAACTCCCTAAACACAAACTTCAATCAAATGCCCATGAACAAGAAAGAAAAAGCCTGCACAGGCTGGGAGAGGCAACTCAGTTCAGTTGTCAGCCAGGACCCCTGCCAGGACAGCAGCGAGAAAACCCAATGCAGACACGGCATGTGGAGGCCTAAGAGCGTCAGCTCAGAGCCCGCTGGGAAGGGCCAGCTTCCTGGGAGAGCATCAGCTCTGGCTGTTTGTGTGTGTCCCACGGTAAGATAACACGTTTATCATTTCTGAGTCCGCCTGTGCGCATCCTGAAATCTCAACAGCACAGAGGACTGCGGTGAGCTCCGAGGTGGAGCAGGTGCTGCTCACATGGCCGGGGCTGGGACATCCCTCTTGCTCCCGCAGCAGCCGGAGCTCCAGCCGGCACCGCTCCTGTGCCAGAGGGAGCCTGTGGGTGCCAAGGTTGTGGGGACACATGGCCTGCCCACCCTGCCGGAGCTGCACCAGAAGGGCCCTGCAGAGAGGGGCTCCCCGCCCGATTCCCAGGCAGTGCCTAAACCCACAGGCTCCGCCGACCTCGCCATCACCCCCAAGAAGTCTCTAGCCACCTGCCTGCATGGCTTTCTCTTACCCTAAAGCTTTAAAGGAGGTTCATTCTAGAATAATACTGCTGTTTACAACAGGTTGCGAGATAAACAATGACATCAGTACAAACACACTCCCTTGACATGCTGAGCTGCTCCAGAGAGGCAGCGCTGGGTAAGGAGAGCTTTCAGGGCGGAGATGCGAGGCCTGGGTGGGGCTGGCAACCAGAGCTTCTGCTGTAGGTGAGGATGCCTCTAGGCAGCAGTCACGCTGCACCGGGGAACTGCGGCTTCTTTCTGCTGGCTGAGGGGACACCCGTTGAAAAAGCTCAATTCAACTACCACCAAGGTGAGCCCACGCTCTTCCTCAGAAACACAGCTGCCCGCACTGGTTCCGCCCTCCTCACCGTGCCTTCCTGGCGCCCTCCCAGATCCAGCTCATCTTCTTTGAGCACCAGGAAGTCAGGCCTGCTGTCTCTCCATCCCTCTGCAGCTCAGGTGTGTGAGCGAGAAAGGGGCTACGTGATGCTCCTGACCCCGGGGACAGGCCAGCCCTCCGCAGCTCAGCCTCTTGAAGGTCAAGGGCAGCCAGTTCACAACAAATGCTTCTGCAAAAACAAATCTCTTTTCTGAACCCTCCACGACCCGGGTCTGCAGGAAGAGCGAGCGCGGTGTGCACGTGCCGCGTGGCTGCCCCGCAGGCCTGGGCGCTGGATGGAGGGACCCGCACGTGAGCGGGCCTGGGGCCGACGGCAAGGGCAGAGCCTGTCCTTGTCTCAGTGTCCCTTTCCGCTGGGAGGACATTCTTGTGTCTCCCTGTGCCTTTCCTGTCCTCTTCCTTTTCGCAACGTGCTGCTCCTCCAGCCATAGCGGCTCTGGGAGGCCCCCGTGGGGTCTGCCGGCCTTGGGCTAGTTCGAGGCCCACACTTGGGGCGGCTCTGCTGCTGAGGCCCAGGAGATGGAACTCCGTTCGTGTGGCACCAAGGGCATGCGGGGCCCAGACAGGATGCCCTGGGGGTGGGGCCTGGCCCTGGCGGGCTGCGTGGTCTGGGACCCTCCCTTGCTGCCTGCTGCTAGGGCACCTGGAGATCACAGTAGGAGGTCCCCTCCCTGAGGGGTCCCCACTCTCCAGGCCCAGGAGCAGCCCGAGAGCAGAGGGTGTGGGGCCTGGGACGCATCCTCAGGGTCTGACAGCACTGAGGAGAGGTCTGCCCATCTGCCAGCGACCGGGACAGATGGCACATACCCCAGGGACTGTCCCAGGGCCTTCAGTGGAGTTCTAGCGCATTCTGTCAAGTCCTTCCTTGAGCAGCAGGGGCTGGGCCTCCCCAGCGCAGCCCAGCACCCTTTGGCGGCGCCCTCTATCAGAAGCGCTGACAGCCCCACACCGAGGCCGCAGGGTTGGGAGCTGGGGCTGCTGCCCAGCAGGTGGTTCTATTCCGGTAGCGGGGTCCTGGGGTCTGCAAGACCCTGGAGCAGAGACTTCTCCTCAGAGAATTCAGAACACAACCACCCTCATAGCCTCCAGATGCGAAGGGCACCCGGGGCCCCACTCACCCTCCTGCCATGTCAGAAGGTGAGTCACTCACAGCTCTTGAGGCTCACCTAGGGAGCCATGAGCTTGGGTGGCTGGAGCAGGGAGACTCAGGGTCCGTCCACAGAAATCAGACATCCAGGCAGCTCCCTGTAAAGACTCTGTTTGGTTCGGCTCTAAAGAAGTCCCAAGGAGGACCAGATCAGAAGACAATGGGGAAACGGTTGTATTTTATTTTTTAGAGAAAAACCCAGAATTTGGCTGATGTAAGAAGATGATGTAATAAATTGTATATTGGTGAGAAAAGCCTAGTTAGTCTGTGTGAGGTACCTGCTCCTTGGTCAGTGCTGAGATAACACAAAAGTGCACCCAAACCACACACATCCAGGGCTAAGCCCTCACCCAGGTGTGGGGATACACACACTATCGAGCTTTCCTGCTGCTGTCTACACTGTCGCAGGTGCCCCTGACAAAAACACAGCTTTCTATCGCACAGCCAAGCACCGTCTATTTCCTCCACCCATCATATGCTCCATTTTATTCATCCACATACATAGCCACAAGCCTCCCTGATGCTTTCTGGATTAGGCTGATGGTGAAGCTAAGCCGACACCATGGCACTCATGCGTTAGATGGTGTGCACAGCAGGCGCGGGACACACTCCCCACCCGCACTGTGACCGGAGTTGACCCACCTCGCAGGCGGCCGGACTTCCAGGCTCTAGGTCGCTGGTCAGGAAGGAGAGGTGGGCATCCCTCATCGCCCTGGGTCCCGAGAGAACTCAGGCCAGGAGTGGTGAGAGACCGGCTGCGTGAGACTGCACTCCTCAGGAGGGGCCACCTCAGGCACAAAGAGCTGTTTGTTTTCCCAAATTATTCTGGCAAGTGGCTATTTTCTATTCCGTTGACTCGACCCCAAATGCATTAGCCTTCTGGCAGCTGGGAAGATAAAGCTGGAGTCTCTGGGTAAGCATGTCTTTTCAGGGCTGCCCCGTTCCTTCAGTAGCATCATCCCAGCAGCTCTGGCAGCTGAGAGAAAAGCGCAGGCATGGAGCATGCTGCAGGCAGGCCAATTTGCTGAGGATAGACCTGCACGAGGGTCCGGGGGTCCGGGGCCGGCTGGCTCTGGGTACCGCCATGGTATCCAAGGCAGCCAGTGGTTCCTGGCGGGCATCAGATGCCCCTTCATTGCAGGGCAGTCGTCCTCACGTTGGCCAGGCTCCCATTTTCTCACCTCTGACTCCAGAGAATTAGCAAGGGGACAATAACAGTGACAAAAGGGTCCTCCAGAGTAGTTGCCCACGGCCCCGCTGCTGCAGACCACTCGATGGCACGGGATGAGGATGGGGATCTGCAAGAGAGCGAGGTGGCCACATCAGCCTGGGCCCACGGCCCGGCCGAGCGGCCCTGCCCAACCACGTGCAGGCGCCACGTCAGCCTGGCTCTATGCCCCACCCAGCGCCCCGCCCAGCCACGTGCAGGCCCCATCTCAGCACGAGTTGCCCCTTGGCCTCTGAGTGTCCTGGGTGGGCTGGGGCAGGCCCAACGGCCCAAGGGAAATGTGGGGCATCTTCTAGAGCAGGGGTCTCCAGGCCTCGGACCCACCCCGGTCTGTGGTCTGTGAGGAACCAGGTCCCACCACAGGTGGGGAGGGGCAGGTGCAACCGAAACCAACCCCCCATCTGATCCCGGGTCCATGGAAAAACTGTCTTTCACAAAACTGGTTCCTGGTGCCAAAAAGGCTGGGTTCTAGAGAATCCCTTCATGCTAGGATTTGGGAGGAGAAAACAATTTCACTTGATAGGTGATTTAAAATGTATACGTACAAAAAAAAATGTATACATACAGAAGTTAAGAAGACATTCCCAAGAAGACATCCCTGCAAAGTTCCCAAACATTTCCGAGAAGTAAGAGGAAAGTCAGGGAATGCCGTGCTCAGAGGCCACTCTAACCCCAAGGCTGGCGAACTGTGAATGCAGCCCATGCAGTCCACACCTGGTTTTGTAAATAAAGGTTTATTGGGACACAGCTATGCCCACTTGGTAAATACTATCTGTGGCTGCTTTTGTAAAACCTAAAACATTAATGTCCTGTCCTTTACAGGAATCACTTGCCACCCCCTGCTTTACAGACACCAGTGGACTTGGGGGTGGGGTGGGGGCTGCTTCCCTCCTTAGCCTCTGAAACAGAAAGTTTGAGAAGCTCCAGTTCTCATCTGTTCCTATCTGAGAAGCGGTCACCAGACCCCCGAATCCCAGGCTGGATGGACCCTCTGTCCTGGGGCCATGCCCCCCATCCCTCCTGCCACAGGAGGTGGCATCTCCACCTCCCAAAAAAGCCCTAACAGGAAGACAAAACTGCCCCGTGCTTTCACACCTGGCGACAAGTGCAGTGCTTAGATGCCTGCCTAAATCAGCAGGGTGACTTCACAATGAAAACAAACACAAACACGGAGAACCGCCCGACCGTCAAAAAGGCCATGCTGCTAGGATCCTGGGGGTGACAGCTGCCCAGGTGCTGAGCGTCCCTGAGACGCACCAGCAAACACGGGCCCAGCACCACCTCCAGACAGCCTCACCTGCAGCTCGCAGCGCTGCGGCACCAGCTCAGCACAGGACAGTGCAGGCCCAGTTCCCAGGAGGCTGGACAGGCAGGGGGCCTGCACACCAGCTGTGAGGTTCCCGAGGACAGGGCCTCCCCCGGCGCCGGCACACCCTGGACAGGCCCGGAGCCGGCCGCATGCAGACCTGCGGGAGCCTGAGGCCCCACGGAGCGGACGGCAGGGCCCACAGGCGCTGCAGCCGCACAGGCGAGTCCCACCAGAAGGACCCTGCCCTCCTGGCCGGGGCTGCCTCAGCAGGAGGCCGGAGAGGCCCCTGGCAGCCGCACCAGGTCCGTTCCTGGAGGTGAGGGCTGCTGTCCACACGGGGCTCTGACTGCAGGTGGTGGGGGGTGCTCCTGGGCTGGTCTCGCCCCCTCCCCACCCTCAAGGGGAGGGCGACTCACTGAGCCGCCGTCCTTGGAGGAAGGCAGGAACGTGTCCACCCAGCACCTGCAGAGTCTGCCAGGGGGACCGCCTGCCCCCTGGCACGGGGGTCCTGTCTGGAAGAGGGGCCATGGTGGGGAGCTGGGCCAGGCCTTCAGAGACCCCACGTGTGAGGGGCCTCCTCCCAAAAAAACCAGGCACCCCTGCTCCCCGGGAGGTCATCTCTGCCCTCACTGGAGGCCTTCCCTGCGGAGGGAGCAGGCTGTCACCTGCTGGCACCCGACACACACACCAGCCTGGGTGCCGCTCTGTGGGGTGGCCCCTGTCCCGGGAGGGTGGCTGGATCCCCGGCCCTGTCCTGTCCTGGCCATGCGCTGCTCAGTAAGGACACGGCAGGGAGAACATGCCTGACGCGCACGCTGTGACCCCACACCCTCTGCGGAGCCCAGGCCAGACGCCGCAACCTGAAGGCGCAGCCAGCCTCTCGCCCAGTCTGAGCTGCTTGGAGGCCCGCACTCTGCATGCTGCCCTGGGGGACTGCAGAGGCAGGGCCCGGAGGTGGCAGTCTGACCTCTTCCGTCTCACAGACCAGTCCTGCCTCGGATTTTGGGGAGTTTGGGTTGCCATGGTGACATGCTGTCTGTGGAGTTCTGACCCTGAGTGCTGAGGAGAGCGTGGGCTTCCTCTCCTGTGCAGTTTAACCAAGCGAGAAGCGGTCACACTGCTGGGCCTGCCCACAGCATACAACCAGGGGGGAACAGAAAACTTTAGGAACAGAGTGTTTGCTCTGATTGGGGGTTTTTATCAAATACAATAGTCACATTAATAATTGCTGGGAGGACATGATTAGATAATACACAATTCAAGTTTTTGACTGATAAGGAGGTAGATACTTAATTCAATTTAGTTTTATAAACATGTAGGCCCCAATTCAATTTTCCCCCAAGCAGCAGACTTCACACACAAGCTCTGCTTTTCTTCCCTCTTCCCCAACAAGCTACAAAACTCCAAGTGTGTAATGTGACCCTCTCTTTCTATGCACCATGCAGATAACAGACTGCTGGCCTGGAATAACAATTATAGAGATAACTATGGTCAGTCTTTGTCTTTGATGGAACTGGTGACTGACCAAACACACGCGATTCTCACCTCCAGAAGCGGCAACGCTGCTCCTGTTCATGCTAATTTCAGCGACAGGTTCCAGACTGTTAAAACAATGAAACCTGCTAAAATTCACTATGCCCCTAAGGACATTTCAAAGGATCCATACTCTCTATGCCCTCTCCTTTAAAGCCTGTGCTGCATGAAATGTAATTTTTATCAATAACCAAGTAGCTCATAATATCATAGCTGCATTGAAATCTTCATGCTGTGAAATCTAATTCATCCAATACATGAATCCATCACTTACACAGACCCTTTCTCAAATGCTATAAAACTTCCAAACCCATAGATTTGTCTCCAACAAAAATAACACGAAGGGGCCTTTCAATCAATAATGGAATCCCTCTGATTCTGGTGCTGGCTGAATATTTTCTCCAGCTTTGCCTTTGTTCTTGTGGGTAGCTGCCCACAAGGGAAAGAGCTTGTTTTCACTCGCGGCCTCATCAATACCTAAATCCTGGTGAACAAGTGACACCGAGAAGCTGTAATCAATAGCTCCCTGTGCGTTTTTTTCTTCTGGTCAAATGGTTCAGCCCCACTGACAGCCCTGACACTTAGAACATGATGCTAAATCTTTATCAACAGCCATCTGGGTGACTGGCAGGACAAGACTCGGGGGGTCATTAAGGCTCATGGCAAATCTGCGAATAAACGAACTCCTCAGGAATGCACTTGTTTAGGAAAAGGTGGGGAAACTCCCTGGCAAGTATTGATTGCCTCTGAACTGCATTTAGCAAATTCTGAGGATGAGTGGGACGGGGCTTTACGAGGCAGGGTGTGAGCCCTCCTCAACCTGCCCCACCAGAAGACTGCCGCCAAGGGCTGGGCCTGGGACAGGGCCTTCCGGAGGGCTACCAAGTCATTACACCTGGGCTAGTAATCTGTTCATGGAAAATTCTGGAAAAACTAAGGGCCTGGGGTGGCTGAAACCCCCCAGCAGCAGACACTGCCCCTGAATCTGCGGGGGAGCAGCCCCCGCCTCGAGCACAGGCCGTCACGTGTCCTCGCTTACCGACGGACACCAAGGACGGGCGCACCGTGGGCGCCAGGGCTTTCTGCGACTTCTGCATCCACCTGTCCATCACGCTGCTCCTGAGCTCAGAGACGGCTTCACCACTGGGTACGTGTCCAGGCCGCGCTCCCTGCGCTGGAGCCCACATGTGTGGCTCTGCAGCTGGACTCTGCCGCCGGCACTGAGGAGGGACGCGTGAGCTGGGTCCAGTCCCTGACTAGGCCCCTCATCCCTTCAGGCCCCTGTCTCCTTAGGACCCCTCAGCCCGCTCTACAGACGATCTGAAGACCTCTGAGCACGGCTGCCTCTGCCGAGCTTGCCAAGCTGCACCCCACGCAGGCTGTCTCCTTCCGGGAGCACCCCAGCTCTTCTGAGCCACCCCTGGAGGCATCTATTGGGTCCTCTGCAACCTTCTCTTCAGGCTGGGGTTCCTGCGTGAGGCCAGGCAGCGCCTGGCAACAGAGGGATGCCCAGGGCAAGGCCAGCGGCTCACAGCCGCCGCACTGTCCTTGTCACGGGATGGCACCACCACGAGGGCCACGGTGCAGGAAGGATCCTCCCCGTGTCCACAGGCCACCTGGGCACGTGCCCACGGGGAAGTCAGGACAAGGACTGCAAGGACAGATGCGTCTCAGGCCCTGTGCAAGCCTGCTTTACAGATGTCAGGGGCTGAGGCCATAGTTGAGCAAGATAGTCACAGAGATTAACAGCAGGAGGAGGCAGTCCTGCTGCCTGCAGGAAAATAAAGGTTTCCGAGTGCTGCCACACATGCCGTCGCCAGCAGCCACGGCCTGGCCATTTCAGAGAGCGAGGACCTGTGGGTGTCACGAGGGGCGGGTGTGGGCTCCGCACCTGTGCATGTCAGTGAGCGGAGATGCACACGTCGAGGGGGCAGGCTGTGCTGGGACGCAAGGCCAGCCTCAGGGAGGGGAGCAGAAGGACCAAGCATCCCCAGGGCATGAACGGAGTGTGGACAGACGGGAGAATTTCTACACAGCTCGGTGACCCTGGGATGCAGGAAGCAGGCACCTCCAGAGCTCACCTGGAGGCCCTGAGTGGACATACAGCACGGGGCGAAGTCAAACTGTCCAACAGAGTGAGCTGGGAGAAGGCGGGGGCCTTCCAGATGGGAAGAGCTGCATCAGCGTCACTGGGAAACCTTAGCAGTTACCCCTGGAAACTGATGCAGGGTCATCCACGTGTGCCGTACAAACGAGGCCTGCAGGGTGTGGAGGCGGCACGTGTGAACGGCACACTGGGACGCTGTAATGGAAGTACAGGGGTGCAAACCCGAGCCCGACCCGCTCCCCCAGCCTCCGCCGCACGCTGCTCCTGACAGTCTGTGGTGTTTAACATGGACGCAGACGCTTCTCCAGGCAGATGTACACCATGCACGCACATCCGCAGGAGCCGCCCCTGCACCAGCAATTGTGCGGTTCTGTGCGGAAGGCCAAGTGGCCATCCTCCCAAGACACTGGCCCTGCCCCGGGGGGCTGCCAGCCGAGGAGAGGGGGCTGCAGGCCGTGCTGGGCAAAGCCCACCTCTCCTCTGTGAGCGTGGAGGGAGACCCTACAGGAAACACACAGCAAAGCCACAGCGATATTTTAAAAACTGGGTCGATCTGATGGAGTGACTCCCCACCCCACGATGTGACCATCTATTGGTTTTCCTGATTGGATGGCACTCTCCCACCATGTTACAGGGTCCCTATGGCTTCAGGGAGAGACCCTCCCAGGGTGATGACACCCGGGTCTGACGGGCACCGCAGATCAACGACACTGGGGACGTTCCAGGGCCCTGTGCAATCGTGTGAGGGCTCCGAGGCCGAGCTGCCGTGTGGATGGGGTGCCCTTCCCACCCCCTGCAGGGTCCTCAGACGAGTGTGGCCTCAGCCAGACCCACACCACGGCCTTCCGAGACTGGACGGCCCTCTTCCAGGGGCCCCGACGTGAACACCTCCCCTCCTCCCCAGCAGCCCAGATCCCTCTGACACGCGCCTGAATCAAAGGACCTTGGACCCTGAGCTCAGCGCCCCGCTGACGGCGGCTGGGCTGACCCCCGCAGCCTCACACTCACAGGGTTGCTCCTCATGGCTCCTCCCACGGCCCGCGCTGCCCTGGGGTTGCCCGCCAGGGCTGCTAATTGCTGGTAAGAAACCGTTTCTCCGAATTTCACAAGCTTCAGCAGCTTCCATAACACCTGTCTGGTGAATGACTCTGAAAGGGAGAAAGCAAATGACGTTATTGGGACAAACAGCTCCAACAGCTAAGATACAAACAGCTGCCAGTCCTGAAAGAGAAAACGTAACAACGTACACAGAGGTGTTACTTAATTAAAACCCAGTTCTGCACGGGGTCCTGTCACCACGTCTCCGATGAGGAGGATGCGCGGGAAGTGAGCCGAGGGCCGGCCGGCACCTCTGCAGGCCTCGCCAGTGGGCAGCACAGACAGCTCGCCTGCCCACCTCCCCGGAGCTCCAGGTGGGCCTGCAGCATGCTCTCCTGGGGCCCGGGCGGGTGTGGATGGGCACACGGTTCACTTCACAAGCACAGAAGGCCCTGCGTGCACACCAACTTTGGAAGCTTTTTACCGTTTGTTCAATTCCGACTCCAGCTGGGATGCAGAAGGAAAAGGAGGCTGTGGGCTGGACCATGGTGTGACGCTAGCTTAGCCATCCACACCCAAGAGCGAGCAGGCTTAGGATGCCAGATACCACGGTCCATGAGGCTGACGGTGACCTTGGCTCCAGGCATCCGTAAGGAGCAGAGCGGCAAAGATAAAACAGCCTTGCCTCCATTTTAATGAGCAGCCACATCGGGCTGCTGCGGGGGTGAAGAGGAGGACGCAGAACAGCCTCTCCCTCTGCTGCAGGCCGAGCGCGCTTCTGGGTGTGCAGGGCACTGCAGAGAGGCTGGGCACAGGCCGGGCCGTTTCAGTTGAGGCCTCCCATCTTTCCCCAGACGACGCGTGCCTGCAAGCATGGGACAGGGAGCTGCGCCCCCACGCACCTCCCCTAGGGCGAGGGCAGGAGCGCCCAACACAGCGACACAAGGGAAGGATTCCACGGGCAGTTCCTGGGTCCGCAGCAGCACTGATTACGCTTCATGCCAAGCTGGCCAAGTGCGATTTGGTTCTTAAAGGAAACACACCCTTACATGCGTGTTAAATAATAAAAATCACTTCTTAACTGAAGGGAATGATAATCACTTCACCGGGAAAAAAATCTGTTTAGTCTTTATTATAACATTAAGCAAATTAAACATCAGCATAATCCAGGTGATACTAGAAAAGGGTCAGCAAAGAAATTGACTTTGTTGTTCATTAATTTACATGGATTAGTAGAGGGCAGAAAGATAGCAAATGTGCTCCAGTTTTTTATGATATAATTTCAAACTCTACACCATTTGTGGCAGGAGGGTGACTTTGGGGTTAATCAGACTGATTTGTCCTTTTAATTGCTTTCTATTCAAAGAAAATTCATTAGATAATGTTCTCTTCAAAATTCATGAATCAATTTAACTGAAGAAACCACATTAACAGCTTTGGGTTCATTAGCACATGCGGTTGTGTGACTAGCTGATTGCTGGGAGGGTTTCCTTAGGCAAACAGACTTTGTTTACTGTGATTTCTTTAGAAAGCGTTTTGAAATCAAACTGTTAATCATTATTATTGTCACCGCTGTTGTGCCTAACTTAAAAATAAAAGGAAGAAAAAAGAAAAGCAAGGCAGCTTGGTGGCAACTTGGAGAAAAAGAGGTTTCAGGGACAGCTGTCTTGAAAAAGAAACAATAAAAGCAGCCCAAGTCAATACTGCAAGACGCCAAGGCCAATCTCCAGCCGTCCTCTGAGAGCGCAGAGCTGCAGGCCCCGTCTTCTGTGCTCTGGCCTGGGGAGCAGCCGCTGCCCAGACTGTCCAGGGGAGCAGCCCGGAACCTACTGAACCGGCAGGGACAGCAAGGGGTGCGTGTGGAGGGACTGGGACAGAGCAGCTCCAGGGAGCCATGTCCGCTCCTCCACCCTCACTGGAGTGCAAGGCCCCGGGCTGCTCTGATGGGTTACTGCCAAGTCACAGAGCGCCTCTCCTTCCAAGGGCAGAAGCATCGTATAATAAAACAATTACAAGCCCATGTGTGAGCACAGAGTTTATCAAACATTTTCGGCTTCATTGTCAATTTTCCACGGGAAACCATTTCTCATCTTGTACATGCCCGGGAATATATTAGGACAAATAGCTCCAAAAATGCAGTATTTTGCAATCAAGCACATCTTTTTTTTTTAACCTGGAACTCAATCCATCCTGTAGGGAGCAAATGCATTAATTAGTCTTAAGCAGCTCTCAGAGTCAATGCCCTTGCCCCGGACCTGTGCAAAAATCAGACCTAAGCCCCACTTCTCCAAAAAGGAGGGGCAACACTGGTGGGGGAGGACACTGTGAGCTGTTGAATATCATTCTGAAATGTAGTAAAAAATCTGCTCATAAAAATGAACATAATGTGGAAAACACATTCTCTTGAAGGTGTTCAGTTCAGTTGCTCAGTCATGTCCGACTCTGCGACCCCATGGATCGCAGCATGCCAGGCCTCCCTGTCTATCACCAACTCCTGGAGTTTACCCAAAATCATGTCCATTGAGTCAGTGATGCCATCCAACCATCTCATCCTCTGTCGTTACAGCAGCAGCAAGGGGCAACCACTGAACCACCACCTTTCTCTCCTGTGAAGGTCCCCACGGAGGGCAGGCTGGCCTCCACAGGCCACTCTGGGCGCTCCTCTCCCTCGCCCTCTCCAGCCTGCTCTGGGGCTCAGGTTGGGTCAAGGCTGGCTCTGCTGGAAGACTGTTTCTTAGCTCTCTTTTATCCGAAGGACCTGGTCATTTCCACTTCAGTCTGGGTGACTATTCAGACCCGCCCACTGTAACCACGGAAACCTGGTGAAAACTATTTTCTAGACCCTCCCTCTTCCTGGGCTGCTGGATGGGACATCATGGGCCGGGCTGCTGATGACACTGCATGCCTGTGGGATGCCCTGCCACAGCACTGAACCTGGTGTCCATGCCCGGTTACAGTCGCCTGACAGGCTTCCGACTTTCCAGGGGCTCTCCAGCCCAGGCCTGGCCTTCTTTGGCCTCTGGCACAGAGGGAGCCTGCAGTACCCTGGAGTGAGTGCCAGGTTCTGATTAGGTGAATCCAGGAGTTCTGACACCACGTGCTCTTCAAGAGTCAACTGGCTAACGTGACCTGATGCTGTCTCAGCATCAGAGCAGCCAGACGACCTTCCCAGGAAGGAACCCGAGAGGGAGACCACAGGAGCGACAGGGGATGGGGTGAGCACACGCTACTGAACGCCTCTATGAAGCCTGGGCACAGAGCACAGGGCAGCCACTTGAGGGCTGTGGAGAGGAAAGGCTGGGGAAGAGGAATTTGAAGACGCACTGCGATGATGTACCCGTTTGCCACTTTTACTTCAAAAATCCCTAGACTGACTGTGGGCTTCTCAGGTGGCACTAATGGTAAGGAACCCGCCCGCCAGTGCAGGAGACTTCAGAGATGCAGGTTCGATCCCTGGGTCAGGAAGATCCCCTGGAGAAGGAAACGGCAACGCACTCCAGTGTTCTTGCCTGGAGAATCCCATGGACAGAGAAGCCTGGTGGGCTACAGTCCAGGGGGTCAGTCAGACATGACTGAAGGGACTTTGCATGCACACAGGGCGGACTGCGGCCTGGACCCTGGAGGTGGCGCCAGTGCAGACTGAGCCCAGGAGCCCTTGCTGCCTTGAGGAGGGGGAAGCCCCCCCAGGGCTACTATCGTGAACTCTTTGGCCCCCAGGCAATCCTGCGGTGTATGCAGGGGGTGGCAATGGTGGAGGCAGGCAGGTGCTGAGAGCTCTGAGGAGAAACGTCCTTTCTAAGGGGAAGAGCTGTGGGCCCAAAGGTGGCTGGGCCCCCTGCATTCTCTGTCTCTCTGCTCCTGCTGCCCGGCCCCAGAGGCCTGTGTGGTTGCAGGAGGGTGCGGGAGAGGACCAGGGAGGCTGTGGAGGAGGAAGGGACTGGGAAAACCAGACCCGGAGCTGTGCGGGTGGATCCCACACGAAACCCAAGATTGAGAACAGAGGGAAGGCTGAGCCCCTGCTGCGGTCCAGGGGCGGCCCTGAGGAGGACCGCGGGGGATGCAGGGCGTGGACACTGAGAGCGCAGCCGCAGAAGCCTGGCCGGGGCTCACAGGCTGCATCCAGCCAGGTCAAGGGTCTCATCAACACGAGTATCAGTGTCACCCACAGGATTCACAGGAGACTCAGGGTCTCGGAACATCTACTCAAAATGAGAGGGTTACAAGGTCCAGAACACTCAGCATATGAAGAGTCAGGAAATCCTCAGCCTTCCTGGGTAAAGAAAATCATCAACTGTAATGGCCAAGAACACGTGGAAGTTAGACTCACCTGACAATCCCTGCCTCGCCAAACTTTCTGAGGTATAATTAACAAAATTGTAAGATACCCAAAGTGTACAATGTGATGACTTGATAAACATCAACTGATGACAGCTTTACAGGATCTGTAATAAGAATGCTGTGAGAAGGGAAAACACCCTTGGAACAAATGAAAATAGAGTTTCCAAAAAACTTACGAAGAAAAATCAGAGAACATAGTACTGAAACATACAATATCCAAAAAGGAAGAACTGCACAGCATGGGCTTCTAGGCAGACTGGAGATGCCCGAGGCAGAGCCGACTGGTCTGAAGACAAGTCAGCAGAAATGGTCAACCTGAGAGGCAGGAAAGAATGCCAAAAGCAAACAACAATATCCAAAACAGCCTCGGGGACATGCTGGAAAAGCCAGAAGGCCTAACACGTGTGTTACTGGAGTTCCAGAAGGAAAGAAAGCAAAGTGTAGTGTAGAAGAAAAAATTCAAAGAAATAATAGCTAAAAATTGCCCAGATTTGGCAAAAGATATACAACCATAAATTTAAGAAGCTCAGCCATGTGCAAAAGGGACAATCCCAAAGAAATCCACACCCAAACCCATCAAGAGGAAGCTACTGAAATCTAAGGATGAAGATAGAAGTTGAAAACAAGGAAAAATGGCATATTGTTTGTGGGAAAACAATGTTTGAATGACTGTAGAATTCTTAGAGAAACTGCAGAGGTCAGAAGGAAGCAAAACGGCAGTTTTAAAAGTGCTGAGAGAAAAGAACTATCAACTCAGAATTCTATATTCCAT